GCCACTTTGCGTACGTATAAAGGAGCCCTTAGTCTGTAAGTTTAGAGCTAAACCAAATACCCAACAAAGTGCACGTAAACATAACAGAGAATGTTTTGAAGCAAACGTCACCATTTTTTTCAGAGGAATTCAAAATATTAACGTGTAAAGCTGCTGAAGCGTTTTGGACAGTCTTCAAAAGTCCAAGAATAAACGGCACGAAGGAATGCATCGTTATCATGCGTGGCTGAAAACTTTCTCAGACTGTCGTTTTAATGTGAGAGAGGCACATTACACATCTGTGTAAACATTCCGCGGTTGCTATCTACGTGGAAACCCTAGTGGAAAACTCATGGAAAACGGGGAAGGTTTAAAAGAGTTGTTTCGTAATACGAGTGAAGGCTAGACCCTGTGTTAACGTTTTATTTACTGCCTATTACAATTTTTCACGGCAGGTTATTATGTGTGACTTAACCACTATGATGCTGAGATATTTGGCAAACTCCGAACCGCAGATGTTTGCAGTGCGGAAAGAACGCGCTATTGCCCTTTCCAGGGAGTATGGCATTCACCACCACGCCATGCGGATCTTCCGTTTTCCTTATCTCTCAGCTAGTTCAATCGATTAGGCCATCAACAATCACCCGTCAACAGGATTGAGCTGGAGATGGTGTGGTGGTGAACGCGTTAGCCCCTGGAAAAGGTAATAGCGCGTTCGTCTCCCACCGCGAACTCCAACGGTCCGGAATTCTCCCAATATCGCAGCATCACCGTGGCTAGGCTCTGCGTTTTCCAGATGGGATTGTGGATGCACATTGGTGACAAGTTACTTCTGGCCTTTCAAAAGCGCTGTTTCGTGCAAAGGAGCACACTTTTTTCCTCTTTGTACATATATTCAAATGACCTTAACTTGTGTAGAGTCTGAGGCATTGCCGAATGGGTTACTTGGTTTCTGGAATTCTCGACTTATTGTTAGGTACTCTTTCGTTCCGCATGTTCTTCTTATATCTTCAGCTTTAAAAATCAAACGACTTTTTGTCTCAATACGCATCTACTGCGTGAATCCCAGCACTTTTTGCATTCGGTTCGTTTTTCTAGCCTTCATCTTTCACAATGGTCTTCGAACAGCTTGCGTGTTGCTTCGGCTGCTGCTTTGGGATTTTTTCTTCTTTGTGCCGAATATCTTAGAATCCCGGTCCAGTCGATTCTCCTTGAAATCTTGGAGATAGCCGAGCTGAGTCTTTTCACGGATCGGATTGGAGAAAAGCGTTAAAGAAGAGATCTGAACAGCACCCTGCTTCTTGATGGAGTGCATCACTAACTACTGCGCCTCTTCATCCTAGAAAAATTGTTGAACGTAAGCCTAGCAGTTTCTATGGAATTGTGTGCTGTTACGCGTTGATGAAGACCTTCGGCATAAGTTAATTTTCCTACCTAGTCTAGTTGCCATGGAAGGTGCAGTGATTGAGGGTGCCTTCCAAGAAATACTCGATCAGTGGCTCGACTACGCGCCATTGGCTTACCAAGCCTTCTATCCATCCGAGGTTGACAAATTAGGACCGCACTTGTCTGGGAGGGCAAATGCTCTTAATAAACAATATCTTAAGTTCTATAATGCTGAAGTATTTGCAAAACTCCAAACCGCAGGTGTTTGCGGTGGGGAACGAACGCGCTATTGTCCTTTCCCGGGAGTAACGCGTTCACTACCACACCATGCGGATCCTTCGTTTCGCCTGTCTCTCAGCTATTTCTATCGATCACTTGCGGTTCGGAGTTTTGCAAATATCTCAGCATTGTAGAAGTTATATTTCGCAACATACCCTGCCGTTAAAAAAATAGACAGTAAATAAAAGGTTAAGAATGTCTTAAGTTTTATTTAGTGCCTATTCTTTTCTCATGACATGGTACGAAGTGAGACGCAACCGCATCGATGCTGAGATATGAGCTAAATCCGGGATCTGAGTTGCACTTCGAACAGGCGATTAACCTTTCTGGTTGCTCACGTGCAATTCAATAAATCAGTGAAAACTATTGCTTTGCTTTTTTTTCTCGTCCTTGTTTTTTATTTATCGCTGCTGTCATCCATCCGTCAACGGGAATGAGCTGGGGAGCATAATCGACATTGACTGGATACATCGGCACCTATGGGCAAGTCACTCTATAGGCCATATGTGCATCCAACCACTACTACTATGTCTCAGAAGTCATGGACTCATAGCGCCTCTTTCAGGGATTAACCAACCCCGAGCGCCGTGCGCTTTTTTCTGTGGAATTAACCACATAAAGACATGCGTCTGATGTGTTTACGCACCCATTATATCTTCTGCGTGGGTTCAACTTCAAACATGCAATTAAGTGGGAATGACGAAGGAAGCAGTCTGGTGCATCTTCTAAAAAGGAGGCAGGAATTTACTTCAGTAGTGCTCGATAAGGTACTTCTGTAACCTTTCACCAAAAACTTGAAGAAGAACTTTTACGGTCATCTTAATTGGACAAATGCCAAGAGAGTAGTGGGATTTCAACACAAGTGGAAGCTATCTTGCGTTTAGATTGTGGCAATAATCTATAGATACATGAAACATCGCATGGGCGGTGATATCGAGATCACCGTTGAATATGTCTGCTTCATGAACAAAGCATAGCGAAGAATTTAGTTTTAGAGTTAAGCATAAGTTAGCAACGACTTATGGCGAATACAGAGCCACTGAAGATGTCGTAAAAAGGCAAGGAACATCCACTTGATTGCCTGCTCTCACCGACATAAGATTATACTCCCTTATATACGCCTCTGAAACGTAGACACTGCGTAAGCATGATGAAGGAGCTCTCTGAAAAGTATCAAATAGAGATTTTATGTAAAAAATGGAGGGTTGAATCCGTCTACTTGCCTCCTTCTTTAGCTTGCTCATCTTTAGTCTCTAATGCAATCAGCAAATCGTCTACTTGCCTCCTTCTTTACCTTGCTCATCTTTAGTCTCTAATGCAATCAGCAAATCGTCTACTTGCCTCCTTCTTTACCTTGCTCATCTTTAGTCTCTAATGCAATCAGCAAATCGTCTACTTGCCTCCTTCTTTACCTTGCTCGTCTTTAGTTTCTAATTCAATCAGCAAATTTTCAGGCACTTTCTGCCTTAACATATTGTCACGTAGTGTCATATCCTGTGAGTATTATATCGCTGAGCATTTGAAACAACTAGTAACTAAGACTATGCCATTGTGCTAGGACTATCTCATACGAAAGAGAAAATCACAAACGCTAGTATATCGGAAAGGCGGTTTATAAGACATGAGATCCATGACAATGCATGAGAAGAGCTGTTACTGATTCCATACCACGGGTGTCGAGGACATAACTACAATTTTTCACAAGAATCCCATGAGATGGGAAAAGAAATTGTGATACCGGTTGTGTCCAACTCTTTTTTTAACTGGGGTACGTGACATGGACGAAAAGAGACATTTCTACTTCCCTTTTAAGTCACTTGACGATCAGTGGAAGGACAGATGGCCTTTGAAAAACTTTATGTCTGCTTATCTTTAAGGTTTAAACGAGTGTTTGGCTGAGTATCCATTTCGCATAATTGACTCTTTTATCATCTAAGTGCCCATTGCACAGTGCTCACCTGTAATTTTTAGTCCGATGTTGATACACCTAGATAGTTTCCATCGTTACATGCTCTTAGCAACTACCTCATTTACATGTGTTGTACCAATAGGAAAATAATGCATTTGAAATATTATCATGAATTAAGGTTTATCCAGAAATATCAACACCATTTCCACATTATTTCATGGCCCTCAGCCTTGAGGTAGTAGAAGTAACCATGTAAATATTTCGTCGTATTAGTGTCTTATCTCTCTGATGACTAGATTAACTGCAATGTGAGTCATCCCGTGGTCATATTTTTGTGAAATATCAACAGTGACGTTGAGATATGAGAAATACTGAGAATCTCAGCTGGGGCACACGGTTCGCGATTATCCCTACCGAGGGCTCGTGTGATAACAGCCACACCGGCCGAGTTCCTTGCTTTGTCTTTCTCTCAGCCAGTTTCTACTTTATCGGTGATACTCATAGGAAATCACCCGTCAGCGGAAATAATCTGGTGAAAGATTAAGCAGTAAATAAAAGTTAGTAAATAATTTCTGTACTTAGACACGGTAAACAATTTTAGAAAACAAAGAGCAACGTGGCCTATATTAAAGGACATTCAATGCGTTAATATAATACTTATTGCACTGACTATGAGATTTGTCCTTCTTCAGTTAGTGAGTAATTTAGTTCTGTTTAATCTAATCGGTGCTTGCATGCACAGGTTGTGTAAGTACAACTGAGAAACTACAAGCGGATTTCCTTCTCTCTCCCCATTGTCTTATCTTCATCTGATCCTGAAGGTGGGTTGGGTACCTTACTGTATAGCAGATGATTCTATTCACTATTAGGGTCGTCCAAGGTAGTTTAACCTTCCACTGAAGAACTTATCTAAAAGCAAACTTTTCTTGGAATATCATCTTCGTTTTTGAAGAAACCTATTTACCCTTGGGAAGATTTTCATCTAGCGTGACTTTTTTCCAGCCCAGAAAAAAATCACCATCCTGAGATTTCGAAAATGCACCGATGTTGAGACAAGTATATCCATCATAGTTCCATAGGGCGTCGTTTTAGAGAAATAAAGGGTAAAACAAAGGAAATGATTCAATGAAGGCTTATGATTTCCTCATATGGCCTTGAATTTTATTTACCACAGGTTATAAGAGGAATTCCTTCATTGTATTCACAGTATCTCATGCCCATAGTCGTTAGGTGATTTAAGTTGAAAGATATTGCTCTGATGTTTCCATCCATCTAAATATTCTGAGGTCCTACAGACCAAGATATATTCTCTACTTTCGTGTTATGAAAAAAACTAATTTGCTTATTAGTTACTTTTAACTGTACCCGTTTTCTTCCTATCATTGAAGTTTGCTGGGATATTACCGGCAATTCTATTCCTCTCTCAATCGATATTCAGTCGTTACGGATGATTTCTAGTGTGATTCGACCTGACGTTGTTCACCACTACTCGAAATCTGTAGACGTTATCATCGTCTTCAAAAATGGCTGTGTTAGGAGAAATCCAAGATTATCAAATTGCTGCTTCAGTCGTCTTTGTGGTAAGCACAACCACCGAAAATTCTTCTTTTTTCAGTAGTTTTTGGATGATTTCTTAAAGAACAGTGATTACTTTCAGTAGGTTGTTCACTGCTGTTTATTGGTTATTGAGAAATGGAAAAGGTAACAAGTTGAAGAGAGAAATTTTTCCATCCCATAGTTAGACGATCTTCCAATTACACTGACTGCATTTAGAAATCACGTCGAAGATAAATCAATGAAAGAAAAGAAAAACGAGAATTTTCAATCACATATCATCAATAAATTCACAAATATGATTTAAAAAATGTCGTGCATCCATTGGATTAGTCGCGAGCACAAAGTTTTAGCCTTCAACTCTACCAAGCAAGAGAGAGTGAGTCACACAAAGGTTAGAAAAGCAAGTGCACACGTAGTCTTTGGTTTGATCTCGTTCCATGGCTCACCAGGCCTCCCATCTCTTCGGGATTGACAATTTGGTACCACTCTTTGTCTGAGAGGATATCAGAACTGACTTGATACATCGCGAAGCCACACCAAGTCATTCTTTAGGGCAGATATGCATTTAACCAACTATAACGATGTTTAATGAATCCAATTGCATGGCAGATCCTGCAGGGATTGATGAAGGCCGATTGTTATATCTTTTAATTTTATGCCCTATTGAAAAGTCATCATGCTTTTCTGTACGGTTAACATAACTCTGAAGTCTAATCCGTTATAGATTTCTACATTCGGCGTGATGGTGAACTGTCTAGTCTTCCTATTCGTTCTTCGTCTTCCGTCAATGGCAAATCCATTTGGCCATCTCATTACAAACCAAGCAATCGGGAACGCTATTCACCTCTGTGCTTTCTCCTTTTACTTCTCGCCGATGGTATTTTTGTAAGTATTTCTTACGTATAAGACTTACATATTGCTCTCCACCATAATCTCGTCATTTTTGTTACTTTAAAACCTTCGAACTTGGAACTTATTGTGATTTTTCGAACGTCATAATGACACTTTTAACGGGGTGTCTCTAAATATTATGATTTACACGCATACGGTTACTGATTCAAGTCATCAGCCACCCCTATCCACATCCATGCCTTCCAATCATATTACCAAGGGACATTAACAAATCGCTTTTTTCCCACCCTTGATTCCTGATACAGCCTTCCTACAAAATAGACTACTAATACTGAGCAGACCTACTAAGTTTCCATGGTTTGCGGAGTTCCATTGGAGAGAGTCAGGCTGTAGTTGACGCAGCTAGCTACGTCTCAAGGGTGTTAGCCGTTCATCACATTAGTTTGTTGAAAGCTGATCTGCTAGTTAGAAATTTCGAAGTCCTTAGTAGCTTATTTGGCCACATCCGACAGTTAACCACCCTATTGCGCATCAGATTCAATCCGACACTTGGGAATACTTCGTTTTGATGGTGGAATCATGAATGTGCTGAAATATCTTTATCGTATCATATCGAAAACTAATTCTCCTCTTCAAAAAAGTATTTATCGCTTCATGCTTTCCTATCTTAACAAGTGAAATCGCTTCTGTCTCTCAAAAGCCCTCATAGAAATCGTTTTTTTATGTTCTGTTTTCGGAAATCGATCAGTGTCAATGATAACTTATACCAAGAAAAGAAGAAGAAGAAGGTTGCAGAATATTTGCTTTTTTCGGTGAATGAAGTGAGGAAGGACGTCGATTTTTGCTACTAGTTGACATTTCAGTGATATCGATGCAATGAAAAAGTATTCGCATTACTGTGGTGTCATTTTGATAATATCGTTTGAAGTTTCATTGTATACACATACAGTGATCTCATTGAACAGATTTTGCGCTATTTACCTGCCATTTCGTTATCGACGGATTTTCACGTAAGTTTCTTTTAATCAGTAACTGACAACTATAACTTATCTGGGGAAACACCAATGCTGTCGTTGTCAACACCAATGCTGCCGGCTCGCACTCGGTATGATTTCGAGGAAAACTTATAGTTCAGATTTTTAATTGTTTTTTGATCCCACCTTCTTTTGCCCCAAGGATCTTTGGAACTGAATTTATTTTCGCGTTATCGATAACGTCATAAAAAATATTGGCATAATGACATTAAATATATTAACGACACAACTGGTATTTCTCCAATATCCGCTCAGAAATCGCTTATATTATTGGCTTCGCACCTATGTTGTCGAAAACTATCCAGTTAAACTTGAAGAAAGGAAGGAACAAAGGAAATGAAAAATTACATTAGTTATATTAGTAGTCGGCGTAAAAATAGAATTCATTGTACAGCAACAGATCAATAGTAATACCGGAGTCACGAAAGGAATGAAGGACAAGATCTGATTCCTTCTTTTTCATTTAGGCTTCACAATACGATTGGGTTAATTACTCTAGTATGGCTGGTATCAGCGATTCCAGTGGTCGTTATTTATGGATTTGGTAAGCGCTTCGTTTCTGATTCTGATCCATCATGTAGTTGGCAATATTTATTGAAACATCACATCACAGTTGAAACAGACTTATTTAATCTTGCCATTTAATGAGATATTTGGAGACAAGTAATCCGTATGTACAGAAACGTACCAATGAAACGATAAGTTGAAAAAAAAAACACGGGAAAGTGGCAAGCTGAACTAGGAAACTTCGTCGATTTTCTCCATTTTGCATACATGCTATCACTTTTCTCAAATCCATCATCTACGTAGATCTTTTGATTACGTAAGATTTGGGCTGCTACTTGAGGATTGGCAGGCGAGGTGATCCAAGACAGGTCTGGTACCAACTTTCCGACAATGAAAGAGGGTCTTTGGTCGAACCGGAATTTTACGCTTGTTGGACGGTATCGCTAAGTTCACTGAAAAACTTCCAGCAAGTCATACAGCTGCGATGGGTGTTCCCAAGTGGTCACCGTAGACCATTCCCGGTATCCATTACAATGCGACTAGTTGTTACCAGAACAACTGTGATTCTTGGTATTAGAAGCTATTGTATCCTAATAAATTCTATAACACTAACCTAGTGTCTGGTTATTGAAGAGAAACAGCAAATTATCAGTCAATTCCAAGGCTAACAGAAAGTCGGTCTTGATTATTCTTGGTACTGTTATGTTCTTAACCGGAATTTTGACGAAAATTCCAAACTCCTTCTTAGCTTATGAGGCCCCTTCTGATGTGAACCATTAGTTCTACGTCGCTGTTGGCACCCATAAAACTCCTAGGTTTCGATAAGCTGGTGAACCATCGAGGTGAGGAGTTTTCTGATGTTATAACGTCATAAAAGAAACACTTCATGGCTTTATATTTTCTTATCAGATTGACAATATCAACGATAATATGAGGAGAAATGAAATACAGTGATAGATTACATATTAAGTGGCCTATAACTAGTTTTAAAAAAATTAGTAAATGTAAATGTTTAAGGCATAAAAGGGTGAGAGCATTCGAGCTAGCCAGCTTAGCGGAACTCGAACGCAAAAATAGAGAAGGGAAAATTAAATCGGCACTCTTGAAAGAAGCTCTGTGTCTTTCGTCATAAAGGAGTGAAGGCCCGCTCTTCACCCACTCCTAGCCTTAAGCAAACACAAACCTTTTTAGTAAAATCCTTGAATTGAGCAGATTACTTACTTGGATTCTTGAACGGTCCGTCTTTACAAGCTGTGCGGACTCCAGTACATATGCCATTCGTTCCTTTCTCTCACAATCGTAGCCCATGGTGGTGGTCTTGTTCGAGCATGGTAGCGCGTGCGAGTCTCATACCGTGATCTGTACTGCAGCTGCGGACACAGCTGATTAACTTTGTTTACGAACACGTCCGCCCAAGGTGTAGGTGGCCGTCCAAAGGGACGTTTGCATTCTCTTGGAGTCCACTCTACAGTTCTTTTCGTCCATCTGTCGTCTGTCCTTCTCATTAGGTGACCGGTCCATCTATGTTTCTCTATCGATGTACGAATGTTCTTGTTGCTTGGCTTTGGATACCACTTTTTTAGGTAACCGCTACTTGATAGGTTTATTTGAACGTTCAAAAACGGAAGCCAGTTTTTTCTCGGTTTCTCCCGAGTGAACTTTATGTACTAAGACTGCTCGTTCAATAATTCAAAGCATTTGTCCATCTCCTCCTGCGTAGAGGAGACGACAAAACAATCATCTACATATCTGCAGTAGAGTAATGGCCGGAGATCGAGAACAGGGACTTCTATCTTAGACATAAACACAATGGCAAGACTTGCTGCCAATCGCTGTCCCATTGCCAGCCCCCTTATTTGCGCGAAATATTTCCCAGACCATCTGAAAATCGAGCAGTTTAGGCACTCCTTTAAGAGAGCCATCAGCTGCTGAATGGACAAGTCATGCATATTTATTCTTCCTTCATGTTCAACAAGAAGTTCGAAGATGGCTTGCATTGCGGAGTCATTCGACACGTTGGCGTACAGTGCGGTAACGTCGAAGGACTCCATCACGTACGCGCTGCTGGGCTGCGCGGTACGTAGACGATCCAGAAACATCTGGGTATTCGTAAGATGGGCTGGAATGTGTTTCAACAACTGGTTAAATATTAAAGTTAAAAACCATGTTATCCTGTCCGTTGGCCCGTCTACGCAGCTAATGATAGGTCTAACCTTAAATAGTGATGGATCGGTAGACGCAAGATCATCGCTGGTTACTAACTTCGTGCAGCTTGTTCGTCCCAGGAGTCCTGACGTAACCTTGAAAGGGCTTATCCAGGTCTTCACCACGATGTTGATCAGTGGAAGGTGTTTTCGGTGACGAATCCTTCGCTCGGTCCTCATACTAGTTGATTCGGAGAGACGTTAAAACCGAAATCAGAAACGAAAGTAGGAATTTGAAAGTAACCGACCGCTCAAGGATAATGTAGAAGCCGAAATCAACCAGATTTGGTATTTTATCTGAGTGACTTACTGTAAGAGATTATAGAGATGGAATACTTGTTAGGAAAATCAAGTGTTTGTCACATAATAATAAAATTATCAACAGATTCATGTAACTTCCAATATCGTGCTGATTATTGGCGTTTTGGAATAATGCTTAACGAAAGATGTCCGGCTATTCCTTTCCCAACGAACTTAACAACGTTCGCTGTTTTAATCTGCATTATTATAGTATTCGATTCTGTTACTCTTTATCGGATTCGTCTATACAACAAGCAGGTCGGTTTGTCAGTGTACATATAGTCATATATAGGAACACATATGGAGAAAGGGCGCGTGTAGCGTAGTAGTTAGAGGTGGTCTTCAATACACATGGGTTCGATCCCGTGCCCCAGGGTCACCGAAACTTCGATCCCTCTGGGTTCGGCAAATTGGTGCCAGACCTTTCTAAGAGGGTGGCAGAAATGACTCGATAAATCGGTAAGTCACCTTGAGTCACTGTATTAGCTAGGTATGCATTCAATCATCTTTAACGATGCATGATGAAGTCGAATGCATGATATATATTCTATTCATGATATATATATATATATATATATATTCTTGCGTTTTAGTAACAGTGGATGTGTGTCTATCGGTATATGTGCGCAAGTATGTGAAGTTGGTACCAAAGTTGTCTGTGAATCCACTCTGTCCAACCCACAAAAGGTGGCATGTACACAGCCATAAAAACACACGTACATGTGAAGGAAGGCTTACAAACGTGCTAGCATGGCTATCACAAGATTCCAGCTAGAATAGCCTTAATCGTTATTTGATCATGCTCACAGATAGAACTGATCCTCAAGCAGCATCTAAACCCGCACCCAAATCTGAACACCTTCGTGGAGTATGGATGCGGTGTAACGAATCTAATGAAACAGTTACTGGGATCCTCATTGTGTAGCGTGTCTAGTTATATAAACTAAATATAATTAAGTGTAAAAAATACCTCTACACGAGTGATACCTGGTATAAAACCTATGTCGACTTTCTATTGGTCGAAGTCAAAAGTTTGGTAGAATTGTTCGCAGTAGCGAAGTAAACCACTGAAAAACGATGAACTGGGTGGTACATAGTTCGTCCATCTCAGCACCGGCATCCATTGCACACAAGAACTTCGGACGTTATGTGTTAAACTTAATTCATCGGTGTTCACAGTCGTTCGTACTTTTCCTGTGGTGTCTTCGTCGTCGTACCGATTCGGATTTTCTTCATTGGAGCACCGCTCGAATGAGAGACCTAAACCGGCACACTTTTCCAACGAGAAACACGTTTGCTTATACCGACTCCACAAAATTCTATACTCCTAGGAGCGGTGAAGTCCTTTAAGGCAGTGTTTTCTTCCTGACAAGTCATGACGTTATTATTTCAATAGTTCTTCCCAATAGCTGACGTTTCTGAGGTTTAACCTTTTTCATAGTTTGAAGGGGGCAAATGGACGCGCAGTCTATCCTGCCAAACACTTTAATAGCTTCTGTAGGCAAAATTGAATACATAAATCCCATTCTCACAATAAGTAGCATTTTTTAAACACTTGTCGTTCTGCAGCTTACATCTGCTTCAATTGTTGATGGAAACCAGCCGCGCAAAGTTTTACACTGGTGTTAAACATGATGGCGAAAACGTTAGCGCCGGAAAAGATGACAGCGCGTTTGATCCCCATCGAAGAGACCTGCGGTCCGGAGCTTTGCAAATATCTCAGCATCATAATTCATTGAGTGTTTCAGTCTCTAAAAAACTACTATGTAAAGAAAAATATGATGGCCATAATAGAACTAAATACAAAGAAAATAAATACTAAGTTGGTTATAACTCGTATGAAATGATGAGATATTTGCAAAACTCCGGACTACAGGTGTATGCAGTGGGGAACGAACACGCGCTGTTGTCCTTACCAGGGATCAGCGCACTTCACCACTACACAATCCGGGTCCTTCGCTTTGCATGT